GGACGGATTCAAAGTAACATTTCTATTTCCTATTTCCATTTTGTTTCTCAATCTTTCCAGTTGCTTCTTGTCGTGGTTTTTATGATTGATTTGTAAATGCCAGCTCAAATCATTTCTCACAAGTTTTTTTTTCTTTTTGCTTTTCTCGTACGTCCAGTATTTGTTAGTTACCGACTGAACAACACACGCGACGTGCCAGTATGACTACCTTAGTTTGACCCAGACGATCGAGTTACAGATATTTATTGTAATTTATATACACAATTTGCATATAGTAATTCTACTTGACACCATTGTTACTTCACCACCAGTAAGACCATTATAATATGACCTTTACCACACGTATATACCGTGCGCTTACAAAAATACAGTTAATTTGATTAAAAATCAATCCAATCTTTTCATAAATCACTATTAATTTTATGCAAACCCTGAATACACTATATATAATTTTCAATGTCACCCTTGCAACACTGATTAAATTTTCGCGAGTTCAAATATGAATATGTAAATTTATAACTTTTAACGTGTTTTATCAGATTTCATTCTTGGCGTAGTATGCTACTAAACCCGTTTCATGTGACTACACTATCGGTTATGGTATACTCCATTGATGTACTGTACATCCATGGTTACTCCGAGCACAGTCCCTGTAGACAGAGGGACTGGGCTCCGAGTCATTGATAAAGCTACCGGGCAGATTTGGCGTTAAGTACACATTTTTAAACCAAGGTGTTAAATGTGTATAAACCTAAAATACAAATATAGATATCAAGTGTAGGTAGATGATGATTAACAGCACAAGTTGATATTAGAAATTCTTGAACTATTCTTCTCAGAGTCCAGGTGAATTGTTCGAAGGATGTTATAACGTTAAAGCGGGAGGGTCATCACTTGCGCACGCGCGGGAATCGAGTCCCATGCAACGCTAAAAACGCAAAGGCTCATGGCTAAACGCTTGTTTGTAAACAATGACACGCTATGGCCATCTGACGCATGCGCAGGTGACGAATCCCCCCCCCGCTTTAATATCCTTCATTGTGTGCTGCAGTTATCTTTGAACTTTAACCTTATACATTACCCATTTTACACTTACTTATAATTTCAGGTGGTAACCAAGGAGACTTGATTTGATTTGAGCATATTATGAACTAATAGATTTAATTTTCTCTATGCTTCTTTTCATGGATGATACGTTGTATAATAGGAGGAGTATCTTTGTCAAATGCTTTTCAAATCAAACTTTCATTGTAAACTATTGATAATTTGTCTCTGTTAATATTAATTTTACTGTTTTTTAACCTGAATACACTACTGTAATATTTCACTACCACTATTTTGTTTTTAAATTGCAGTTTTGAATGACAGATAATATAACCCATCATGATAATATAATACACATTAGTTGAAACAGAATGTGTTATGAATTAAGAAAAAATATAAAAGAGCTTCCATTTTGTGCCTATTGTCACTATGCAGTACTAGAACAACAAAAAAACTGGTATATCCACTTTCAGTGCATGTTGCTATGAGTAAATGAAATCAAGGTGTGTTTTTCAGTTTGATGAAATGGTTAAACGGACGGTCAATTAAAAAGCTCATATTCCAAATATGTAATTGTGTATACCACAGAGGGATATGTAATTTTTTTTATAGAAAAAGATGTAATATATATTTTATTTTTATTTCATATGCAAAATTATTGTACAAGTTGTGTGCATGTTGCTAATTCAAATATAGCGCTACAGTTTTTGTGCTGTTTGGCTTATTTGTCATTTGAAAAAGAAAGTGGATATGTTTCTATTACGTTTTTGTAAACACTGCAGAAATACTATATGTTAACCAGACAAGGTGGTAGTGCGGTGCTTATTTATGGAATAAAAAAAGCTATAAACACAATGAATGTTCTTTTGCTGGATCATTACCCCCCCCCCCACTTGACCTTTATATGTGAGACTTGTTTTATGTTAGCCTGAAATGTAGACGTAGTAACGCCCTCGCCGGCCGACGGCATCAGACCTGTGTTGGGTTTGGAGCACCGCGGAGGGCGCAACTCATGCGACTCGTCAGGCTAGTTTATGTGTTCGAAATAAAAACAAAAATTGCAGGGTAATGATGAATCAGAAACAAGGTCTTTTTGATGACCTGGTGTAACTCATTCAACATATATCCTCAATTAAAGTATAGATGCAGGTTCGTGGGCCCTTGAGAGTGAATTTTGCTTTTTATTATTCAAACAGTCTTGGCTATAGACTGTTAAAATGTCACAGCATTGTGAATAGTGGAACATACTCAAAAGACGATTTTAAA